TAAATGCCGTTTTGGCGCTGTTTAATGTGGAGTGACAGATCGCTGTAGCGCCTCAGTTCAACAGACACGGCAGCGCGAGGCGCACGTGAACTGATCATCTCCTCCACATTAATACCAGTTTCAGCACAACATAAACATGACTAAACATCTGAAGGTAAGTTAAAAGAAAGAGTACAACTTTACAATCCATATACTGTCTCATGTAATCGCTCAATCAGTGTTTCAGATTGGCAAAGATGTCAATATAATGGCTTCTAAACAATGTCACGTAACGTCACATTTACCTCAGAAAAAACATTTGGTGACCATAAACTCATTAGTCAGATAGAAAAAGAAACTGTAGAGAGGGGCATTTTGCTAAATATGTGCACCATATAACATATTCATTATAAATTTTACTGTTCTTCAATGTTTAATTTATGTTTGAATAAATCCATCAAGTTTTTATGACAGCCACTATTGTTTATATTTCAAAAAAACGAGTTGAAGTAGAAATATTATTATGTAATTGTCATTTTTATTATTTAAAAAAATAATTGTATTATTTTTAAAGTGTAATTTTAACAAATCAGTCAATTTTAACATTCAATATTATAGTAATGTAGTACCAACTGACTCATGTATATTTTACAGCATTAGTTGAGAGATTTTTTTCCCTTCCAAAATAATCGATATTGAATCAAATCGGTAATCTAATCGAATCGCAAGCTTGTGAATGAGAATCTAATCGAATCGTGAAATTTGTGTCAAAACCCAGCCCTACTGTATATAGGAGCTCCAAAATATTTATGTGAAAAACATCTACAAAAGCTTACCCATAGCTGGCACTGCCATGCCGATACGAGACACCACCACCTGTACGATGGCTTGCTGAGCAGCTTTACTTGATTCTCCGAGACGTTTTCCCTCGGCATCGGTAACAGGAATGCCACACTTCAGCTCTCTGTAGAAGAAAAATTCGAAAACACTTTGCTTAAAGCCTTATGTATAATGCATTATAAAAGTAGTTTTAATGCATTAATTATGCCTTGTAATGCACCTTATAATGCATTACAATCTCATGAATAATTGTAATGACAGTTATTAATACATTATAACACTTTTTCATTTTAATTCATTGTTACACTATGCATTTTAAATTCAGTTATAATTATTTAAGACAAGATATAATGTGTTACAATGTACATTATGAATAATTATAATGCATTATACCCCTTAATAACCCTTTTTAATGCATTATACAACAACATATGTACATTTTAGTAATAAAAAAACAGTTTTCTCACTTACCTTTGTCTCATGAAGGGTATGTTGATACAGTTTGCTGCTGCCACTGCAGCAAATGGAACAAAACGCCCCATAATAGCTGGCAAGTGCTGAGAAAAGATAAGATATTTCAAGTCACTACTGCCATATATTGTCTAGACTCTAGATGTAAAAACAACAGTCAACAATTAAAGGGATAGTTCACATTTTTCATCATTTTGGGGTGAACTATTTCTTTAAGCCAAGAAAGAGGTAAATCAAATTTTTGCACAGGGTAATAAAGATAAAAATATTCAACCACTGTCTACATTTTTTAAAACATCTTTTGCTGTTTGCTGACTGGAGTAATAGCTGCTGAGAATATATAAATGAAAACAAAAAAATAATAAAAAAGTTTTTTTAATTTAAAATGTGTCACAATTTTGATCAAATAAACACAGCCATGGTGAGCATAAGAGACGTTAAAATAAATTATTTTAATGTTAAAAAACCTAAAAAAAAAAAGTAGTGAACAGTAGTGTATTTAAGAAAATATATAAATGAAACTAATAATGAGTAGTAAACTTATATCTTAGGGCCAGATTTATTAACAGCTTGCGCCAGCGCAAACCCTCTTTTGGCATTAAAATAGTACTGTCAGGATTTACTAAAGACGCGCAGTGAAAAATTAGCACTGAAAAGGCGTGGACAGTTATTTTTGTGCCTGACCTTATTGAATATGCATTTGTAGGAGTTTCCCTTTCAGACGAAAAATTTATGGGAGGAGAGTATTAAAATCAACAATTTACTAACGTTTGCGCTCATCAAATTACTGGTATTTGCACCATTATTTAACGCCCAAAAAAAGCATGTCTTAAAGCAGGCAGTAATTTGCGCTGCTCTTGGTAGATTGCGCTGGTCATTATGGAAATGATCTGGCTGCGTATGTGTTCTTTAATGTGCATATTGTTATTAAATCACCTGCAGAATTTCCCCCTTTCATTGGCACTTTTATGGAATTGCGCTCTAACACTAATTCGCCCTGTTTAGTAAATCTGGCCCTTAATTTTAAAATATTTTGTTTGCTTAAAGTCACCCTGTAATTAACTATAACATACTGAGTAGTTTGGTGAAAGGACAGACCTTGGTCAGAGACTTCAGTCCAAGGGCTGTTACTACAGCTCCAGTTGTAGCACTAACGTAGGCTGCTCCAAGCTGACTGCAAAATTTAAAATAAAATATATGTGTTAAGTATTACTGAACAGATCAGTACCATTAATATTTTTCATGGTGCTCATAATTACTGATATTACAGGATGCACAACTCTCCTTTACCAAGAAAGCTTGGGTTTAGAAAAAGCTATGATGTTGAGTAGTGTGTCATAAACAATACAAGCCTCACTGCATAACCTGTAAATCCAGCAACTGATGCTTAGTGAAAAAATGATACAGGCAATTATGTTGTTAGATAATAAACTGCCAATAAACACATGATCAGAATGGAAACATGAATAAATGAGCATGCTGTCTGAATCTGCCTGTATTCAGAATGTGTAGTGATCATGAAACACTGGCATCTCTGCTCCATGAAAGTTCATGGAGTACAAGTGGAACAGATTCCACCACTTGTATCATCATGGCAATTTGGCTCATGCAACAGATTTCAGGAAACGAAACTGTGCAATATACCAACATAGTGTGGGCGAAACACATCACACCATCAAGAGAGAGCTGCCATGAGGCCTCCATACAGAAACCTGCATCTAGATTGTTTCTAGTAGCGATCTTAGCCTTCATACTTCATGGTGATTGCCGCGTCTCCACTGCGGTTAGTGTAGTTGACAATGGCGTTGAAGGATTGGTTTACCCACTGCCAGAACACCACTGCTGGGGTTGTCCTGATAACAGAGAGAGAGAGACTTCAATTAAAAGAAAAATGCATATTAAAAAAAAAAAACATTATAAAACTATTTATAATTAAAAACCCTTTCATAGACAATGCTGCAGTCATAAGAATCTCCCACACAAGTCTGTAATTTGAGTCACATGTTGGTCTTGCTCAAAATGACTCATTTACAGATGACTCACTGATCCAAGTAAAAAAAAAAGTGTCCACAAAACCAGTAAAAAAAAGAAATGTCACTTTTTTCAATCTTAGTCAAAGTATTCTTTTACTTTTGATTAATGTTTTAAAAGCAAAAAATACCACCATAAAACAGTCAAACTTCTAACCCTGAATCAAACCACCAAACTAAGCTATTCAGTAGGAGTGCTGTCTTTTCCATGATGACTCATTTAGGAAGTATTCACAGAACTAAGCGGGGATATTTATCCCAGGCCATGGAAAAATTTACTCCGTTTCCTTTTCTGGCTTTAATGTATAACAGGTCTATACACACTTTCTGCCCTTTTGGTGTCCAGAACAATGAGTGATCCAGTGTGACAGTGTGCTCACCTGTAAAAGGTAAGCATGCAACCCGTAATGGTCATGTTCATGGGCACTTGTGCAGACATGCGTCCAACTAGCAGCATTTTCTCTCCTGTGTCTGGGTGGAAAGCAGAGTCGTAAATGTATTTGGCCCTCCATAGCTGATCTTCTGTTAGCCCAGGCTTCACGATTCCCAACCTGTAAAAGAGGGCACAGCAGTACAGTAACAGTAATACATGAAAACATAGACTGAACCTATGATAAACTGACAACAGCATGAAGAGCTAAAACAGTATTTAAAGGTGAAGTGTGTAATTTTTGGATTTTAAAATAGTTTCTCCTATCCCAGCTTAATTTGGAGAGACATAAGTAAGCCATTCGTAGGTTGATTCCTCTGAACAGCTCTGTGGCACTATCAAAACATTGCTATTTTTGTTTGAGTATCTTAACCAGCAACACTGACCAATGGCATTTGGGGTGGGACTGGCATCTGTTTGTCTGACCAATGGAAGATGGGGGAGTGCTTGATAACAGCCATTAATAAGACTTCACAGGGCATCAGAGGAGGTCAAACACACACACATATATACTACTTCAAAAGATTGAGATTGGTATTTTTTTTTTGTTTGTTTTTGAAAGAAGTCTCTTATGCTCAACAAGAATTGAAACAATAATATTGTGAAATATTAACTTAAATTTAAAATAACCATTTCCTATTTGTATACATTTTAAAATGTAATTAAATCCTTTTATGACAAAACTGAATTTTCAGCAGCTAATACTCTAGTCCTCAGTGTCACATGATCTTAAAAAAACATAATATGCTGATTTGGTGCTTTACGACACATTTTGTATTATCAATGTTGACAACAGCTGTGCTGCTATTTTTGTGGAAATTGTGATGCTTTTTTGAGGATTCTATGATGAATAGAAAGTTTAAAAGAACTATTTATTTGAAATAGAAATTTCTTGTAACAAAGTAAAAGTATCTGCTGTCACTTTTTCTGTATCAATGTAATGCATCCTTGCTGAATAAACATACTCTTATACCACAGTTCAAAATAATTCTAATTGTTCATTATATAAAAGTCTCTTATTATTTGAACAGATGTTCATTTCACCATAGCTCCTCTTTCAACAAAGTGAAACCTTGCTGCTATTTATGAAGACAAGACAAACAAGATGCCAGAGGGATCACATATGTAATTAGCAGGGCCTAGTTTCAAACCACAAATCCATGCTACAGTGTTTTAAGAGTCTGTTTAGAAAGGAAAACGTCCATTCTATATATTGCACTCTAAAACCTCTCCAGTAATGTTGTGATTGGTAATTCTACAGTTTCTAAATTATGTTAAAGTACAGGATTTCACCCCTGAAATTCATAGATACAGCATTAAAAACAAGCCAGAGGGATCACAGACCTGTAGTTCTCCACAGTAACTCTGGCATCCTCTAAAACCTTACTGGACAGCAGCACGTTTCTGGGGTCCGTCACCATGAAGAAGTGCTGAGCTCGGCCCATAAACGTGCCCTGGTCCCATCGTGCTTCCTTAATGTTGATATTCAGAGGCAAATCTCCAGACATCCTATCAGCTTCTGTGAAGATCACAAAGAAGTCTGGATTATAGCGTCCAATTATACCGAGAAACAAAGGCAGGTTTAGAAGTTGTTTAAACCTGATGTGTGGGAACAAGGTGATTTTTAGACTAAAGAACAAATGATTAAAGTCTCTGTCATGAAGAATGTTGAAGCTGCAGTTATGCCGACATAGTTGTGGTGGGTGACAAAATGGTTTCAAAGGTGAAAGTAAAACCAAGAAAATGAATGACTGGGGACATTAAAAGTAACAGCTTTTAAACCATATTTACTCATGAACAGGACGGACCCTGTCTCTTTATGTTCATACTTATTAATACGATTATTGCCATGCACGCCTGTAAACAATAATGCCTGACAGATGAACATGTGAGATTAGCAATACATACATATAGAAAGAAGAAGGACTAGCCGGTGCTGTTTACAGCAGAAAGTATGTAACTAAACTGTTTATTAACTAAAGGAATGGGTATTGTTTATCTACCATGGAAAAGCGAGCGTTATAAAGCGCATATTTACAGCTATTGTAGCTAATGCTAGCTGCTCAGCTGGTGTGATGTGAACTGACAAGTCCGATGACATGAATTTAATTTCATTTCACCGAAGCTGTCACTTTGTCAAGCTGCTTTGTATGTGCAATTTTTTACTTAACTTATAAAGTAAGCAATTTCATTATGAGCAAACTCATATTCCCTTCAACGGGCTAAAATACCGTAAACTAGCTTCAACATAATCTCACGTAACGTTACATAAACACAACAACCATATCAAAACACACAAACGTGCATTTTTGTTTAAAGAGTCATTCAATAAAATATCTGACACAGACCTTGCTAAATCACCACAGGTTAGGTTCAGGTACACCTTGAAGCAGATGACCTCAGTGCTGACTGCTTTCCTCTGCGTGTACACTCACTGAACGCACTTCCGGTCTCGCCTTGAAAATCCGCCTGAAGAGGGCTGAAGTTGAACGGATACTTTTTTGCGTGTAAAAGGCGGTGGGTGATAAGAGTAGAGAGACCAGCAGTGAGAAGGGTGTTCCTGCACAACCGGAGGCAGCAGTTTCAGGACCGCAGTTCTAGGACCCTATGCTTTTGTAACAGCGCCACCTACCGAATTGGATAATATAGCGGAGGCTGCAGTTTCAGGACCGCATTTCTAGGACCCTGGTGGTTTAGTTTGTAGTAATGTTTGTACATGTTGTTAAAGATATTGAATCTCAGGAACTTTTTTTTTTATTTCAATTGTGATTTTTGATTTACAAATGCATCAGATGTTAATTACAAAGTGTGTAATACCTGCTTTGAGTTAACCATTTTAAATTTAAATTAATTTACACTTAAAATATAAATGAAAAATGTATTTCAGTCTAATGATTCAAGAATGCATATTTATATACTGTATATACTCATTTTTGCAATAACACATAATACAACATCATAAAAAATACCCCCTTTTCTATCAGTTGCTGCATGGACATAAAGGCTTCAACTCCTGAGAGAAAATGAATTGAATTGAATTGAACGCCTTTATTGTCATTGTATTGTTCTGTATACAACGACTTTAGGAGCACTACTCCTCACTGGTGTTAGAAAAACAAACATATAACCACAGACAATAAATACTAGCTTCATAGAAAGTGTTACCGTCAATCCTTCTATTAAAATCTTCCACTTCACTGAAATAGTTATCAGAGAGCAATCACTGTTGAGTTAACAGAAATATCAGTAACAAAAGGTGCACTGGGCATTGTGCAAAAATAATTCATATTCTACTCTGACCTGTAATGATAATCCGGACCAGAAAGGAAGACCTGCTCAGCCTCCTGCAATGAGAAATTCCGGAGGACAGCCAGGGCATATATGATGGCCTATGAAAAACGTTAATATAAATATACTGTTATAGCACTACTGAACAGCAAGCCATTATACATTGGTCCATACACGAGTAGCACCAGCATGCAGTTTATACAGTAGATTTTGTAAGTGCAGGAGCAGGACACTCACAAACACATTACATGGTCCGGCATACCTCTGCACTTCATCTGTGAAGCTCAGTTGTGTTGGTGTCCTCTGCAGCACTCCTCTCAGATCGGCAAACAGGACAGTTGTTCCTCACTGGCGAGGTAGACAGGCACTCGGGAAGAGGTTAGCTTATGAGACCACTTAGAGGGCTTCCCGTTGAGTACACCCTATGGGCAAACCATGGTGCAAAAACAGTTATTTTGAGGAAATTGATACATTTAAGATAAAGATACAATAATTTGCAGCATAGTTAAAAGATATTGTTAATGTTATTCCTAATTAAGGCCCTTGGTGAACCTTTACTATGAGTTTGTTTGTAATGATGATTAAATGTGAACATTGTTTAAGTACCACTAAATGCTCCTCAGAAGTTGAACGGATACTTTTTTGCGTGTAAAAGGCGGTGATAAGAGTAGAGAGACCAGCAGTTGGCTCATGAGACGGGGCGTGGAAGAGAGCTGCGCTGTAATTGGTGGTTCTAAAGGCGGGCGTGGATGAGAGCTGCATTATGATTGGTTATTCGATTCGTGATTTCCTGAGAACGCTAACCTCCACGGACGTTGAGCTGATCTAATGGGGATTTTCAGATTTTTGAAAAAGTATTAAAGGTGTTCAAAGCGACTTTAGCGATTTTGCAAAAATATCAGCCAGATATCAACCAAATTATTCCTTCAGCCACACTCCCTCCAAGCATGGCCGTAGCCAGGGTTTGAAAATTAGTGAGGTCCGGGGTGGGGTTAAGAATTGTGCTTGATATGAGTAGTTTTAAACAGCAAATTAGTCATTCAGACTCAGAGAACAAATTTTATTTTTGAACATGAAAAATGGACCGAGGTCCGGACCTCGGTGACCTCATAGCTGGCTACGGGCCTGCGACTCCAAGCCATACAGTCCGCAGTGAGGGGCACTCGCTCCGAAATCCGCCCGCAGGACAAAATGAGTGACTGGCAAAGAACCTTTCTGATTGGCTAAACAAGGGCGGGCCGCTCTGCCTAACTCTGTTTTAAACATATTATTTACAATATGATTATCACAGACAGGTGTAATATCTGAAAACACATATTTCAGTCAATTCAGCCAACAAATATGGAATAAAGTAATAAATATGTAGCTACCTAACCTATGGTATGCAGTTTGGGATGTTGGATTTTGCATTTCTAGTAAAGGAAATGAGGAATATGGGTAACATTTTTTTTAAGGTGTCCTTGTTACACGTACTTACTATTATAATAACAATAAATTATGCATAATTACATGCAAGTAATCCTAAGCCTAAACATAACCCTAACCATATAGTAAGTACATGTAGTTAATTCATATTACTTAAATGTATATTTACACTGGAACAAGGACACCTAAAGTGTAACTGGAATATGTATATGGTGAAGCAGAAATTTACATGTAGGCCTACATTAAAGTTAATTATTCATTTTAGGGGCGAATTCAGTGCAATACAATTTTAGTTTATAGCCTACACTTAAAAACCAAATTCTCAGAAAAGAAATGTCTTTAAATGACCACTATATGGCAGTATAGTGTCATGAAAGATGGTCTGATCTTCTTGATGCTCCAAAGGGGATCAATTACAGTTTATCCTGAAGACGAAACCACATTCACCATTTGGATTAAAAGAAATTATCTGGATCAAACACTCCTAATTGCAGCCATTTAATCATGATAGATAATTTAACCACCAAAGAGGACAGAAGCATAGGCTATATCTTTTTTTAATACGCTTCATTTAGTGTCTGAAGGCAGTGGGCGCTTACCTGCAGACCAACGTGAGACTTAATTGGATCTGCACTTGTTCCACAAGACCACTGTTCATATAATACTCTTATGCTATGAGTGACGATTGTCAACCACTGGACCAAATGAGTTTGTGCAGTGTGCTTCTGAGCTGCTCCACATAATCCAATCACATGCCCTGAGAGGCGGGCTTAAAGAAGACTAAGATTGTCTTGTCTCAGGTGAGGTCATGCGGCACAACATGGAGACAGGTAACGCCATTTAACTTTATCCAACTTTGTTTTTCTTGCATTTATACACCACAATAACAACAGCCTAAGTGGGATAAGTAAATAAGGTAAATTATCTTTTATTTAAGGTGAATCTTACTGGTAATGCAAGTAATTTCCTACTAACTTGTTGTCTACATCTGTCAAGGATCTCGTAGAGGATAATCTTTGTATAGTTTTGAGATCTTCTCACCCTGATGCAGTGAGAAGTGAGACAGTACTTCATCTCTGAGAATGTTGGGTTGTTATGTTGTTCACTGAAGCGTTTCGATGCGCTTTACGTTGTCACCTGTTGCTTGAGCGCTGTCCGAGGTGCTGATGATGAGACAGTCAGCCAACTTCCTGTTTAGACTAACGAAACGACAACGCCAGCTTCTTTTCTTGACTATAGAATGCCTGACCCAAAAACCTACACGAACGCATAAGGGGTCAAAATGACGCGCACTGGATTCAGTGGGTTTCTTTAAGGAAAATGGATCCTGTTTTTATCGCGTCTCCAAGGGTAAAGGAAAAATGTAAGAGTTGGATTATACACGTTTCGTTTTGCATATATAGTTTTATTAATTTGTTTACTTTACATGTGCAAATACAGTAAAAATGAAATTTATATTGATAACCATAACCTGTGTGTTTATATAAGAAATTTGAGTGTGCTGGCAACTTTTGCAGATTAAGTAACTATGATCCTGTCTGAAAGAACCAGCAGATTTCACCAAAAAATTCTGCACTTTCTGTCCATTTGAGGGACATTCATTACTGC